TTGTGTTTTTGCTTGATCACCTACTGTGCTTATACTTTCATACAGTGTTCATATAAAATCGAGGGTACTATTTATCATTTTTGAATATGAGAAGTTGCCTTGTTTATCGGATATTAAATTGCAGTATTTATGATTTCATTTACACATGTAAGATGACTTTTCTGACACAAGCTTAGAGCTATACAACGAGGCATGTACAAGAGTAGAATATGTATACCTTTACTATTAGTATTCCATGGTTCATATACATAGTCCTCGTGTTGGACTATAATCTATTAAAGTCCTCGTGTTGGACTATAATCCATTAAAGTCCTCGTGTTGGATTATAATCCATTAAAGTCCTCGTGTTGGACAATAATCCATTAAAGTCCTCGTGTTGAACAATAATCTATTACAGTCTTATGTTGGATAATTGCTAAACCTTGAGTATGTTGCTTAACCGAGTTTGGAACACGACATATTATATGAGGCTGGGACATGATAGCTACCTAGGCTGGACATGACACTTAGTGTAGCTTTGACATGTTTAAATTGTATCGGTAGAGATGAGTTTATATTCTTTTCTTTATTGTTCCTTGGGTTAAACCTTGGGTTTAGTATTTAGGGATTTACAATTTGAGATACACGGTATATACATGAGGGTTTCCTTGTTTGGATTATTTCGCTCGACGTACCTATGCTCGTGACGTAATTTCCTAAGTACTAAAACCCACTATTGTTAGTATAAATGATTTTATATTTTTATGTATTAACTGTATTTTCATATACAACGAGCCCTATCCCTTGGGGTTGGTTATGATGCTGCTCGCTAGCGCTTTGACGCTCGTTGTCCCTCCCCCTTTCAGGTAATGAGCCCGGAGCCCGGAGAGTCGCAGGTTGAGGGCGATTTTTATTAGTAGCGCCTGTTTATCCTCTTATTAGATGTATTTCATTTTGTACACCACTTTATATATATATATATATATATATAACGTATCACAACATGTATTCATAACATATAATATTCACGCAAATACTTTAAATCAACATAAAATAATTGTCATAAATTTATTTTTTTTTGAAATTTTGAGATATACGCACATATCGTCCTCACTCATTCTAGGAATTCCTAATGGTCTCTATACATGAATCCTAGGAAACTCTATCCTGGCTCCACAATTTAACACAGGAATGATTCTAAGGATGCTGAACTAGGGCTCTGATACCAGCTGTGACGCCGCAGGGTTCACACAAGGCTGCAGTCCAAGGTGAAATCCGGATTGTCAAACCTGCCAAACACCAAACACCATGCTACGATATGTTTCACCATCACAATCATTATCTCTCTAGTGGAAATGATAAATAGACGAAGGTACAGACATGCAAAATAGAAATAGAACGACACCGAATGTACACAAAAGAAGCATATGAAATATCAATAATGAGCCTAACTGGGATGAAATAGATATATCTCTGAATCTGAACTGAATTTCAAATACAATGAGTCAAATAAACAAAGTCTCACAATAGCTCTCAACTCTATGAAACAAAATACCAATCTAGAGTCTGAAAATAATCAACTACATGTGGAGTTCTGCAATAACTACAAAATATGATAAGTAGCTAAACGGACAACTAAGATGTCCCATCAACCTGCGACTCTCCGTGCATTGGACTCGCTGTCTGAAAGAAGGGAAACAACGAGTGTCAAAGTGCTAGCGAGATCATCACTACCTCTCCTCAGGAGAAGGGGTAGGAGTATATAAGAAAATAGAGTTAGTACATACATATATCAAATCATTCATATAGCTCTCTATGAATGAAAAAAATAGTCAAGGAAACATACTCCAATCTCCAATATAAAGAATAAATATCTCATCTCAAAGTACAATCGAGTAGCCTGCTCTAATATAAGATGATGCCAACCAAATCAAAACGAAATATAACTGCCGTCCATAACGGGTGTGCCAAAATTTTAAAATAAATACCCTACTCATGGGTAATCTATCATGGAAGTAAAACTTATAACTGATCAAATATCTATGTGTGTATCATCTTATACTATAGCAATACTCTTGTAATGCTCTTACTCAACTCGCTCTACGGCAATAGGATTTATTATCTCCCTATTCCGGATACATGTAATAACGATACTTTTGTAATACTCTTACTCAATCGTTCTGCGGCGAATAGGTTTTATTATTTTCCTATTCCGAATACATGTAATAATGATACTATTATAATACTCTTACTCAATCATTCTGCGGCAAATATGTTTCATCTCCCTATTTCTGGATACGAATAGAACATTATTATTCATATGTGTTTATCAATTTAACTCGTGTCAAAAGTGTGTCAATCTAACACAACCTAGCATACATGCAACAATCTCAGTGTGCGTGTCCACATCTGAAGTTCACCATCTTTCCAGGTGTTTATCAAGTCTTAACATTATAGTTAATCATCACAAAGTCGAGAGGAACACTCGAAAACCCAAAATCCAACTCAACTGAACATGCACAGGCAAAACAAATTGGCGGTCGATCGTGGCGGTCGATCGCGATGGGCTCCAGAGACTACCCAGGTCTCTGTCCTACACGCGGTCGACCGTGGCGGTTGACTGTGGATCTTGATTTCCATATTCTAAATTCTTGGTGTATGTCGTGTTCACGTCGTGTTTTTGTGATTCAAACATAATTAAACCCTCATAATCTTGCATACAAACATGTTACAACAGATAGAAATATCTGGAAAACAAAATAACATATATAACCATGATTTTATGCATTAGATTCATATTCAAAACTTCAAAACATGCATAAAAGCTCAAAACAACGAATCAAACTTCTTTCTTTAGATTAACCATGTTTTAAAATCATCATCATATCTAAATCACATCCGTAAAAACGTTCTAAACCCTTTTAGCATGAAAAGATCTAATCTTTATACATATAATACAAAAGAGTTGTCTTTTATGCATAATCTATTCGTTTAGGCTCTACAAAACATGTTTAAATCTCTTTAAAAATATTTTAAAAATTGGGAGGGGGATTAGTAGAGATGATACTCGCCTGAGGTTGTGAGAAAACCTTTTAGAAGCAACGTCGAAAGAGATCTCCACTCCAAAAGCCAAAAATCAATAAAAATCCACTTGAAAGCCTCCAATCTTCTCCAAGAAAGCAAACTAGGGTTTGGGAGGTTTGATGGCTGTTAGGGTTTTAAAAAATACTAAAATAGTACTGAAAATTTCATGAATACATGTTATATATACTAGAAAAAAGAGTGTGGGCCTGAAAATACCCAAAACCAACCCGAACCAGGAAACCTGATCTGACTAGGAAAATACCTCTTTGGTATTTTGAATCTAACTTCCTCATCTGACCTTAGAATGAGGTGATCTAAGACTTGTTGGAAATATAAAGAAGAGACCTACAACTTTGGTCTTTTACACTTTTCTAAATTCTAACTACATCGGTATGCAAAACTTAAAAACTCATAACTGATCATTATTCCCTGATTTTCACTCTTTTGGCATTTATGCATGTTTTGTGCATTTGCACTCATATTTTCATAAATATACATTGAATTGATCTCAAATCAATTCTTATCATATCCAAACATCAAAATATATTATTTTCACTATATAACATATTTATTATTATTTATCATAAAATATTCAAATTTACGGGGTTTTACACATATCCTTTCAAGAACTCGTCAGTATCCTAAATTAAGTATGAAATCCATAAAAATGAATAAAACCAATAAAGATAAACAAACTAAAACTGAGGAATTCTTATCGGAGAGGACAACATCTGAACCTCATCATCGCTGGCTTCAAGATCGATCAGCGCATCGCCACCGCCGCCTCCGCTCGCCGGAATCACCGTAGGCAGCGGCGCCGATGGCCACGGAGGGCGTGAACTCTGAGCCGCAGTTCTGGGGACAGCCTCTGCAGGAGAAACCCTAGAGCTCCTCCTCGTGCATCACTTTGAAGACGAATTGGTGCTCATAATCTCTGCAAATTCGATCAAAGACGGAGTCTTTAATTGGGGGTAATTTCCTAATTGATGAAAGAGAGTGAATGATCGGAGAGAGTATCTGAGATTTTGATGAGATCGAAAGTTTAAGAGTTTAAATACTTGGAGATTAGAAATGGGCTTGAAAGGAGAGAGAAATGGGGGGAAATTTTGGGGGAAATATATCTTGTTACGGTTTTTTTGATAGTTAATTTTGGGTGTAGAGGAGAAAGAAAAATCACAGAGACGTGGGATTTGCATGTTGGCTTAGGGGACCAGTTGGTTATTTGATTGGAAGTGATTGTGAAACGAAGTTTGGAGAGAGAGTAGAGAGATAAGTTAGAATTTAAAAAAAATGATTGGCCCAAAATTATTTGACTGTCCATCTCATTGTTCTCCTTTATAGTTAAAAAAGGTAGTAGATAAGATTGCAGGATGTATGTAACCGGGACAGTATCTTGTCATGCCAAGAAAACAATACTCGTAAAAAGTGTAGGGGTCGGTTAGTTTCTCATGAAATGGGTGCAAGTGACCTTAAATAATTATCTTAACAGAAAAAATGTAACGGAATCTGCATGAGTATCGTAGTGAAATTACATTGAGACTTAAATTACACGTACTAAACCCTAAAGATTTTCTAGCGTTTTGTAGTAAAACCCCAATAACTTACAGAATAACACTACATCCCAATAACTTTTGAAGAAAATCGGGCAAATTACACCAAACCCCAATTGCTTTCAAAATAAATGTTTACGTTGTTTTTCGGCTCGAATTTATGGGTATTATTTGCAAAATATGGAAAATTTTGGGGTTCTCTGCAATTCAAAAAGTGGCTAGGGGTCTATTGCAAGTTTGAAAGTTTTTTGGGGATAGTCCGCGAAATTCTAAAAGTTCTTGGGGTTTAGTGTAATTTACCCAGCATCGGAACATCAGGGTTAAGAATTGTCAGGGCACCAAGGTGAAAATAAGCCAGCGGGCATTCACCCCTCTTGACAAGTCTCCCTCCCTCTCTCTCTCTCTCTCTCTCTCTCTCTCTCTCTCATATCCTCGTCGTCGTACAGAGAGCGTAGCGAGCAGTCGGGAGAGGCGGAGGGATGCCGAAGCGGACGACGCACACGTATTCGAGCGAGGATGCGGCGCCCGACGGACCCGAATCCGACCTGTTCGTGTACTACTGCAAGCACTGCAGCTCCCACGTTCTCATCACCGGTCCGTATCCAATTCTCATTTTTATGATCTCCCGTCTTAATCCAATTCTCATCTTATGAATGTGATCTCCCTCCTTAATCCCCCACCCCCCTTAATTTTAATTTAAGCAAGCGCTGCTTGGATTCACCCGGGTTAGGGTTTCAGATCGGTTGAAATTTCAATACATTGATTGCTTATGAGTTTTTACGATATCTGATGTGCTAAAGGATTCAATTTTTATGTGGATGAAGATGAAAAGTTCCAATTTTTTTTTCACGTTTGCTTGGGTGGGTTTCTGAAGCGTTAAACCCGAGCTATAATTTTTACCATGTGGGTTCATATGAGAACCGAGTAATAATCATTTTTCACTGGTCATTCTGTTGACTAGCTCCAAAAGCTTATACCATTGAGGCTGGCATATGCTCAAACATTCTAGGGTTTTCAATGAAATTGTTCGTTACGATGTTCCTTTATTTCTTTATTTATATCTTGTAAAAGAGAATGTAAATGTTAGTTTAAACTTGGGAAGTTTATTGTGCTCACTTAATGCTTGAACAACTGAGACTATCTATCATATTTGATTCATGAGATCGTCAACAAACTTGGTGAAGAAAGAGCACGACAAAGAAATTGATGAAACTAAGGGAAAGGGATTGGGAGGCTTGCATTTGCAAGAATTTTCAAGTGTTTAAAGGTAGAAGAAGAGAGATGAGAATATAATATGAAATGGGGGAATGTGGAGTATATTTTAAAGGATGTGATAATAGACGAGAGGGGTTATTGCCAGTAAACGTGGTTGCAATTTGGGTTACTACATATGTGATGCTTAAAGAAAGTTGATTTTTGAATCATTGACAGGCTGCAATGTGGGTTTACTATAGCTGGTGACAGTTTGAACTACATTTGATGCCACTTTTTGAGCCCACGATCAGTTTTCTACCTCTGAAATTTACCTTATTGATATGGTATTTAAGTAACACTAGCAGCTGTCTGCGGCTGTCATTGGTTTATTTCCTCAGGGCTTGCTTGGTTGTCCATTGTATAATGCAGTGTAATACTCTACTGTGCTTTACTTGTTTTTAGAAAATTAACCTCCCTATATGGTCTCCTTTCTTTCTTCTAATACTCTAGCATGCTTCTCAAAGACATGTGTTTGATTTTGAGGATGAACATCGAACTCCTAGTAATCCATCATCTAATGGGCAGTTGATTTAACACTTCTGAACTTGATATTGACAAATAGTTTAAAACACACGCTTCTAGGACATAAACATTTTATCGTCCCAATAATCTGAATGGAACAATATAAACCTTTAGGAAAATACTAATGTAACATCGTAAATATTCTTGAAGGTCATAAGCATTACTGACAGATAATTTCAAACCATATCTCAGATTCACATAGGAAAACCATGCTTATTTGAGAAAATTTAAGACATGTACAGTTTTAGGAGCTTATGTGCAGCCTAATGAATCCAAGAGGCTACAGTGAGCAGCCTCAAGATATTTGAAACCATGTTATTAGGCGATTCATTGTTTTACCAAAATTTATCATGTTGGACACCCGAGGACGTGCACCATTTGGACACACGTTCTGTTTTCAGTCACTTGTATTAGAAAAAGGGAAATAGCATGTCCTTGCATCTGAAGTACGATAGGCTCAGAAAGAATATTTAGGACAGATCTGTAAGGGGAAAGCAAGTACAACAACTATCATATTACTTCCTCATATATCCAACCAGCATCTTTGCTTTTTTAAAACTATTCCAATCTTGTCTGAAATGTAATAAAGTGGTGATAAATAGAGCTTATAGATCTAAGTATTAGATCCATAACATAAATAACATATTGTATGTGTCCCTATTCCGTGGGTGAGCGTTGGCACAACAACAAAGTTGTTGCGTTGGGACTTGGAGGTTGGGAGTCTGAGTCTCTGAAGCAGCCTTTTTGTATGGGAGGGTAAGGCTGCATACATCCAACCCTCCCAAGAACCCACAACGGTGGGAGACTCATACATCGTGCCACCCTTTATGTCTCCCAGTATCCCCATGTCTAAAAATTGCAGAATTGGACATCGAGGACTTAGGCACTTGGACAACTGAACGTGTGTTCTACATCAACATGACACTGGTGCAATGTACTCGTCTCTTTTTGCTTGATTAAGGTATCAAAGCAATTCAGTATGATGGCTTAGTCTTAAAAGCAGATTGTGCCCTTTGAAGCCCATGGACAGGTTGACATGTTGGAACCTGCCCCATTAACGTCCAACCCAAACTTAACACACGTGTGCGCACTTGCACACAGCAGTACTTTCCTTGCATCTTCCAACTTTAAAAGTACTTCTGTTTCATTGTAGATACCTGCTTAGTTACCAGACCTAGTTTTGTTTTGAGTATCAAGGAGAATTGTCTGCTTGTTGCCTTACAAATGTCTGCTACACATAATGCAAACCTTGGAAAGGGACTGCTATTGTGCACCCCTAAATTCTCGTGCTCTTAGCTCTATTTTTTTAGGAAAGAGTGAAATTCTCTGCTGTTATTATGACATCGGCAGCATAAGAGGGTTGATTTTCTTGGAAAATCTGGGTATGGTATATCTTGATGAATGCTGTTGGCTAGGAATGTGATACTAGACATCTCTGGTTGACAATTTGTCATTAAGTTCCATCTGAGTGTCCTGAGTTTGGTGCTCTTTAGCTAAGTCATCCAATCTTAAAAATGCTTGGAGATGTAGTATTCAGTCTCTTTTAAGGATTCAAACCGTGTCATCTTTATTAAATAGCTACAGACTGACATCAATTTAAGCACATTTTTCAGACTTTAAAGAACAGTGATACAAAGCTGTGTTGCTGGTGGTTTGAATTTTTTTGATAAGGCTATTGCTAAGTGAGCACATGTTGTCACTTTTTTGCTTTAACTCCAATAGGGCAGTTTTTGTTTCTGATCTTAAATTGTGATAATTACTTTAGGTGCTTTCCTTTTATTTTTTCTTTTAACCAATGCCATAAATTTTAATTATCAGTGAATATTGGCTGCTTTTATACTAATGCCGTTATCTAAAGATACTCAATTGCAGAAGATGCCAAAACGTAAGACGGATAAAGCACATGTACTTGACAAGATCAAGCATCTTGCAAGGCTGAATGTCAAGGAGGCTGGAAAGGTTCTCCTAAAGCGGTATATATTATTGATCTCTTTTTTTATGATCTCCATCTTGTTTATTTATCATCTTTCCCATTGCCTTTTGAAATACTCCTGCATAATTGGTTTAAGTGAACTATTTCATCCAGAAGCATCAATGATTTGGCGATTTGTCAAAATAACCAGTAAATTAAGGTCCGGATTGTGCATACAATTGTCTGAAAGCTCAGTAATGAAATGACACCTAGCTAATTAAAAAAGTATTGTCATTTCTTATGAAGGTGCATGTAACTGAAGTCATGCTATGCTGGTGTTGTCACTTGTCATACTACCCACGTGGGCCATAGATAATTATTGGGGTACAATTATCGAAGGGATTTCTTGTGATCATATCCAAATACATGTACATGCTTAGTGAATTCAGTTTAAGGTTTGATTCAAGTTGGGACATGTATGACACACCCATGCCTATGGTTCTGTGCATGCACAAATACAATATTCATGTTTGCAGCGGCAACAACACCAAATTCTTTATCCAGAACTTTTGGATTGACTACATATTTTTTCTCTATTTGTTTCTAGTAAGAGCCATCTCCTTCATTAGATATTCTTGTCTTTGTCTCTTCACCAACTACGATCCTATCTATGCTTGTAACTTACCCATTTATTAGCCTTTATTACAAGTACATCACCATCTTAATTGTTTCTTACATTTTTTTTCCTAACAAGCAATGTAATACCTCAAAACATAATCCCACATTAGATATTGATTGAGAAATTGAATGATTTATAATATAAGTAGGGGTCAACACAACTAGTGCTAGCATTTTTGGTAATGGATCAAACTAAACAATGAGTTACTCTTAGTGAGTCCCACGGCTTACGCCATGCCAATGGGCTTGTGGATCCGGGGCGTGACAAAGGGTATTAGAGCAATTAGCCAAACTGAAGTGTAGTACTAAGTGCTATGCGGGACTAAGTGTCACGCCGCATGAGTGCGGTGGGAGCCGCCTCTAGAGCCCGTAGGAGCCACCTGTAGAGTCTAAATCGCTTGATGGTTGGAGCAATTGTCATGCCTTGAGGTGGATGTTGTGTATATAAGGTGTGATGATTGTAATACCCCAAAACATAGTCCTGCATCAGATATTGATTGAGAGATTGAATGGTTTATAATGTAAGTCCAATGAGTCAAGTGCAACTAGTGCTCGCACTTTTGGCAGTGGATCAAGCCAAACAATGAGTTGCACTTAGTGAGCCACATGGCTTACAATGCGCCAACAGGCTCGTGGGCCTGAGGCGGCAAGCAACCTCTTAACTTCTTACTAACAAACCCATTTCTTATCCCGCCCCTTATAATTATTTGCATTCATCTATCTTTGCATTCTGAATTCTGCTACTCTCATATGTTGGACATGTTTATTGTCTGTCCAGCAATCTAAAACATAACATTTCCTGATATTTGTTGCCTTAAATTTTGTCATTACACATCTATATGTTACTCAGCACAATGTTGGCGATCATGTACGGTCCCACTAGTTTCTTAATAACATCTGATTGGATCTTCAAACAAATTGGAAAAGATAAGTAGAGTTAGATTGTCAATGCTTAAAATACAATGAAAATGCTCATTGTTTTCATAACAAAACTTGGACATCAAAATTCCAGAGCCAACTTTGTAGGAGACGTTAACAACATAAGAGTTAAATTAGTATTTTTTAGCTTATATAAAGACAAAAGTCCAGTAATTCTGAAAAGATAAAATCTTTGCTTACATCACTTCACAACAGCTGATGAAAGCTAAAATATGGAAAACATTTAATACATAAATAAGGCCGTGCAAGAAATCTGCAATTTATATTTTATCAAACTGTTTACTTGGTTGACATGTCAGTTTGACTGCAGGCGTACTCCAACTATTACAAATTATGTCTAAGAACTTAATATATAAGTAAGGTTAAGAAATCAAATATTAACCTTTCAACATGTAAAGGTGTGCATGAGTCAGTTAATTGCGTGCATGTGTGTATGTGTGAGGAGGGTGGGCGGGAATTTGGTCTTCCACTTATTCGTCTTGATCTGTACTATATTTAAGTGTCTCAAAACCAAACTTGGAGCAATTACTGGGTTTTCCCTTTGTATGGTAAAAAAAGGACAAAAATTCTAGTTGCTCAATCAATAATTTGGATCTTAGACAACCTACACAATTGACCATAGATTGGAGCATCATTCTAATGGCAGCTGTAAATTTACCTAATTTTTTGGGCATTTTGAATGATTTTAATTAAAATGCATGGATAATATGCAAGTGGGATGGATCGCCATCAAAACGTGTAAGGAATAATTTAGCTAGCCAGAATTCCCTCCCTCATCCCTTCTCCATCTTCCTTCCCCTCTTGTTCTCTCTCTTTCTCTGCACATTTGTATTTGTTTTTAACTAATAAATTCATCCAAGTAGGGATGGTTTATCGCTAACTGAGCTCAACTCCTCAACTTAAAATGTTTCACTGTGAGCAAGCAGAATTCCCATACCTAGCCCGATGCCTAATGCAAGCCCTCTTCCAAGGGGCTGAGGTCTTACCTGGGATTGTGACAGTAGAGTAGCTTCTCATGATACCCAGAACGCTAGATGATGGCAGTGATGTCTTACTGGTCCACCAAGGGGATGAATATCTGGAATAACTTTACTGTCAAGGAAAATCTAGGAAAAACAAGGAATAATGCTGGATAAGACAAAACTCAGTTAGACATCTCCGTTCATGATTAATATTTTCTTGCAGACATGATATATGTGCATTTTCAAGCATGATGTGTTTTTCTTATTGGATTGTTTTTTCATGGTAATGATTATTGGTCAACCACTTCTTCATTTTCCAGTATCTTCATGTTAAATGGCTTTCGACTTGCTTTACTGGTCATGAAGATTGCTTTGACTCGAGTTTATAATTTAGGTTCGGCACAGTTTAAGCATAATTCTTCTTTTTCTTTCCCTCTTATCGGTTTATAATTGTAGCATCTTGGAGTCTCATTGTTAATGTGGATGCTATCATGTATAATTTCCCTAACAAGCTTAACTACTGTAAATCAGTTGTATTACTGGAGCTCACAGTTGCAATTTGTGCATACTTGTTGTACAGTGGTGAAGGAAAATTAGAAAAACAATTCCGCATGAGTTGTACGGGCTGTGAGCTTTTTGTTTGTTACCGTTCAGAAGAGGATTTGGAACATGCTCCTTTTATCTATGTTGTTGATGGTGCACTGAGTTCAGTTGCAGCAGAGACGAATCCACAGGTATAAAATATATTTTACTAGTAAAAATGATTTCTTAACTAATTTCATGTGTCTCCTGTCCCGCCTCCATTTTTTCTACTCTGACCCTGTGATTCTCTCGTGGGCTAGGGAATGTCAATAAGTAAAAAGCATGGTACCAAAGAACATAATGGCACATGTTTCCTGGTTTGATCCAAAACTGATGCATGTAAAATTACTCAAACTTCAATACCCAATTCTGACTACAATAATGGTTATAATCTTCTCCTTCTTTCATAAGAAACCTTGGTTCTCACTTCATGACCATTAAATTTCCTTCACAGTAATGTTTGTATCATTGGCATGCAAGTCATTGTTGATAATTAAAGCTGTTGTTTGGATGATATCCAAGATTTATTGGGTTCACATGTACCAGTTAAAGCAATTTCCTTGGTCAAGATAATCATTGGAATTCATGCATGATTGGTCTATGTTGATAGACAACTGGAAGACATTCACTAACTTCAATAAATTAGACCACTGTTAACAAAGCTTGTTCACTTCTCGATTCATCCAGATTACTTCCTGATGGCCTCGGAAAGATGTCGACCATTCCCTTTCAGCATGACATACAAGTTTACTATGTTACTTGATTTTTTAATAAATTTTCAGGATGCTCCTGTACCCCCATGCATATCACAGTTAGAAGGTGGTCTTGTCCAAGTCGCTATTGAAGTAGAAGATCGTGCACAACGTTCAGCAATTACGAGTTAGTGTCCTTTTTTATGTTTTGATATCTAGTTTGTATAAAATCAAAATGCCGTTCTATTTTGTTAGACATCATGATGGTATTTTCAGCTTCTGTGGAGTTTATTTTAATCCTGTTATACATTAACTAGGTTTTGTGCCATAATGTTGTAATTTTAGACTTCCATTTGGTGGCTATTATCCTGTATTCTTTTCTGAGTTGGTTTCTTTTTTTGGGTGGGAAAAAGGTTTTATGTAATTGTTAGACTAGCTTAACCACGGTTACTTAAACAGAAGCTTCTCAGGTTCATTTGTTTCTAAAATGCAGCTTCACATCAGATCCTTCCTAGCTTTGGTAATTGGTTAAGAACCTAACTGTATCTTTATCATATAAAAATTTCTTAACCCAAGAGCGACGTGTCCAGTCTGCTGCTGGACCGGCAAGCGCTATGCTCGTGTCCACCACATAATAATAATATTTTTTTCTTCTTTCTAATCAAATCTTCAAACGTATCAAACGATGATTTCCGAAGAGAAATTGGTGAAAATGTCAAAATTTCTTAAATTAGGCTTTATTGTAACTATTATATTGGAGTTCAGAGTAGCTTGTAAACCAAAAATCACCATAGTGGAAAAAAAATCATTTCTGAGAAGAAGTAGAGTTGTGTTTGCGATAGTAATTGTCCTTACAATTTGACTAACTGCATCTTTGATGAGGGGCATGTAGATATTCTCAAAGGCACCTCATATGATAGTTTGAGTTGTGATTGCAATTGGTTCATTCTTATTTTATGCTTCAAGTAGTGAATCGTGCCAGCTGCAACAAATATTGTCATTTTAGTTTTTGACTTTGTTGTCCAGTAAAGGCTTGCGTTTGCCCACTTGTTGTTTGAGCATAAGCAGCATAACCATAATTTGTAGTCTTAAACACATGCTAACTTCAATATGCTATAGCAAGACTCTTTTTCTCATAGTCTCCTTTTCAAGGGAAACTCAATTGATGAAATGTCAATTGCAAAATTAAACACGGTCCTTCTGTTGTGGACTTACAGTAGTCTGAGTTGTGGCCCACCTTTGACTTCATGGTTGATGCTGGGAATGATTACCCTAGATAACTTATACTTTGTTCTAGTTACAAACTTTTGCAAAGGACCATCCTTTGGTTGTTAACTTGTAGAACTGTCACTGAGGCCACTTGTTATGCAAGAAAATCATTAGTGATATGTCAGTTCATCTTAGGCTTTCTGAGTTTCTGCGCAGAGTAACCTTAGGATCTTCCCCTCATTATATTCTTTTGGCTGCTGCCCTCATCTGGACTTACCTCAGTTTTTTCTGTTTTCATTAGGAGTGAATGCCGATGATGTTCGAGTAACCGTTGCGGCTCCAGCTACGCGTGGAGAGGCTAATAATGAATTGTTGGAATTCATAGGCAAGGTTTGAATTCCCAATATAAGAAATATTCACATGACTTCAGTTTTTGAGCCCAATCTTATCTACTCAAGCATTAATTGTCTTTCATTATGACAACATGATTTCTGGTGTAGGTGTTGGGATTAAGGATAAGCCAAATGACTCTTCAAAGAGGATGGAATAACAAGTCAAAGCTTCTTGTGGTGAGTTTTACATATTTCAGTTGCCTTGAGCTTTTATTATCTAGGGGGAAAACGTCTTTAATAGGGTGAACTGAAATTTTAGCGTTCTGTATGATCTTCTGAACCTCATAATCATACTCATGAAACTATGTTTGATTCCGTCTAAACAATCCACATAGAACCCAAACCAAGCTCCCACCCGCTCGCATCTGAACCTCATGATCATATTCATGAAACTATGTTTGCTATTCTGAACCTCATAATCATATCCAGCAAAGACTTTCACCTTTCTTTAAAGTGTTAATTTTTAACTGTTTGACTATATTCTAGTCTATTAATCTTTGTGTTGGTGTTTATTTCTTAATTTGACTATTGGTTATTATTATTATTATCGGCACTTTTTAATACCCTTCGCAATTGTATACTACTTGATACCTATCTCCCTATACTACTACTACTTCTTCTTCTTCTCCTCCTCCTCCTTCTCCTCCTCCTTCTTCTCCTCCTTCTCCTCCTCCTCCTCCTCTTCCTTCCCCTTCCCCTTCTCCTTCTCCTCCTCCTCCTCCTTCTTCTTCTCCTCCTTCTCCTCCTCCTTCTTCTCCTTCTCCTCCTCCTCCTTCTTCTTACTATTATTATTATTTCATATAAACTCGTAAGACACATGAAATAAATCTGACAAAGCCCCCATTAAGTTTTGTTGTTTTGAGATAACCCCCTTAACTTTGAAAATGTCTCAAAACCCTCCTTTGGATTTGGTCTATTTTAAGATAAACCCCTTGAACTTTTAAAAATTTCACTAAACTCCCCTTAAGTCTTGGGGGTTTCAAAAAACATGGCAAAAGTTTTCATTTTTTTCAACTAACCCCCCAAATGATGTTAATGAACTGGTAAAAAGACCCAAGTATCCTTTCCAAATTAACACTCTAATTGTTAAATTAAATTAATGAATCATAAATAAATTAAGTAAATCCTTAACCGTAACTTAAGGGGTTCAAGTGAGAATTACAAAGGAAATTTCCATTAGGGTCATTTGCTCATTTGAACGTATGGGATTTCCACGTAGATAGCCAAATCTAAAGATGTTAGTTAACAAACTTATCTGACAAAACTTGTTGTGTGTAGGGGATTTTTTTGTTTTTTGTTTTTTTTTTGGGTTTGGGGGGGG